GGCCGTGGGGCTGGCAGGGCTGGGGGGCCCCTGGCATGGGGCTGGCAAGGATGGGGGGACCCCAGTGTGGCCATGGGGCTGGCATGGTTGGGGACACTGGCATGGGGCTGGCAGGGCTGGGGACACTGGCACGGCCGTGGCTCTGGCAGAGCATCATGCCAACCCCTGCCTGCGCACCCCAGACCCCTCTGCCGGGCACGGGCAGCCGCCACAGGGCGCGGGCGGGAGGGAGGAGGAGGAGGAGGAGGAGGAGGAGGATGAAGAGGCTGCAGAGGAGGCTGAGGAGGAGGAGGAGGTGACCCTGGTGACCCACGAGGGGCTGAGGAGGGTGCCCATGGGGTACCCAAGGGAGGGGGCACAGGGGGCTGGGGTGGGTGCCAGGGCGAGGGAGGGCATCTCTGGGGTGCTGGGAGATGGGAGGGGGCAAGGAGGGTGCCTGTGGGGTGTCCATGCATGGGGGCACGAGGGGCTGAGGAGGGTGCCCATGGGGTACCCAAGGGAGGGGGCACAGGGGGCTGGGGTGGGTGCCAGGGCGAGGGAGGGCATCTCTGGGGTGCTGGGAGATGGGAGGGGGCAAGGAGGGTGCCTGTGGGGTGTCCATGCATGGGGGCACGAGGGGCTGAGGAGGGTGCCCATGGGGTACCCAAGGGAGGGGGCACAGGGGGCTGGGGTGGGTGCCAGGGCGAGGGAGGGCATCTCTGGGGTGCTGGGAGATGGGAGGGGGCAAGGAGGGTGCCTGTGGGGTGTCCATGCATGGGGGCACGAGGGGCTGAGGAGGGTGCCCATGGGGTACCCAAGGGAGGGGGCACAGGGGGCTGGGGTGGGTGCTAGGGCGAGGGAGGGCATCTCTGGGGTGCTGGGAGATGGGGGGCCATGGGTTGCCCCCAGGGCGCCCAGGGATCCCCGGGGAGGGACTGGAAAGGGTGCCCCTGGGGTGCTGGGACAGGGAGGGTGCCCGTGGGGTGCCCAGGGGAGGGGGCACAGGGGGCTGGGCAGGGTGCCCATGGGTGCCAGGGTGAGGGAGGGAGTCTCTGGGGTGCTGGGACCTTGGGGACAAGGGGTGCCCCAGGGCATCCCCAGGAAAGGGTGCCCGTGGGGTGCTGGGGGGCCTGGGCACAGTGGGACCCCCTGCCTGGGGGGGGCCCTGACCCCGCCGCACCCCAGGGTGCCCAAGCGCCCCATCATCAACACGCCGGTGGTGAGCATCAGCGTGCACGCCGGCGGGGCGCGGGCGCCGCGGGTGCTGGCCAAGCCCATCACCCTCCAGTTCCGGCTGCTGGAGACCCAGGAGCGCTCCAAGCCCATCTGCGTCTTCTGGAACCACTCCCTGCTGTGAGCGGGGGACGGGGACACCCCGGGGGGACAGGGGACATGGGGACGGGGCGGGGTGGGTGCCCTGATCGGCTGGGGG